CCTGGTCCCACTACAAGCTGACAGCCTGGGCCCAGGGTCACTTCCCTGGCTCTGCACTGTCACCTCAGGGACTGTGAGCCCTGACCGATGAGGACACCTGGGGGAGTGCTGGCCTCTGCACGATTTAGCCCAACCTGGGGTCTGAGGATCCTGGCGAAGGAGGTCCCTGCCCCTCTGGCCTCGGTCTCCCCACCTGTCCGGGGCTAGTGCTCTGTGCCCAGCCATCATCAGGGCTGCCTCCTTGCATCTCTCAGGCATCGACTTCATTCCTTTCCCCTTAGCACCAACTCACTTTCTCACAAACTTATGTCCAGCGGGGGTGGGTGGAGAGAGGGCAGCTAGAGTTCACCAAGGGACAAAGAAATGAGTCTGAGTTTTTTCCTTTTCAATTTGGCACTTTTCACTTATAAAGCAGTACTTGCTTCACGAGGAAAACTTTGGGTTGGGCATGGAAGTAAAAGGCAGGGATAGGTGATGGGGGGCTTTCAGCCAGGCTAGGTAAGAATCCCTAGACCAGAGCCACCGAGAGCCCTTGAAGTTACAGAGAACTTGGGGACCCCCCAGTGTGCGGCTCGTGGGGGGACTCCCTCATGAAGTGAAGATCGAGAGCACCCCTGGTAGCGGAGAAGCGACTTGACACAGCCTCGGTGCCCTTTCTCACAGTCACAGGGGCACAGGTCCCTCACCCAGCGCACCCCATGGTCCTAGGAATTCCCCGTCCAGCCAGTGGGGCGAACGGCTGCTGCCCGACCGGATTTACAGCAGATCTGCCTGGAAAAGCCGAAGGCCAGACACAACCCGGACGCGTCCGGGGGCCGGTTCAGTGAGTGGAGGCGCCGGCTGCGGAATGCTCTGGTCCTGGACGCACCCCCCAGCCACGTGGTGCCTAAAGCCAGAGGAGCGAGGCGCAGAGCAGGGAGGCCGTGGTGCTCCTGGCTCTATGGGGGGCGGACATGCATACGCCCTAAAGCCAGTGGAGCGAGGCGCAGAGCAGCGAGGCCGCGGTGCTCCTGGCTCTATGGGGGGCGGACATGCATACGCGGGAACATTTTTGGAAGCTGGTAGAACTGGGTGGCTGGCGGATGGGGCGGGAGGTTTTTCACTAACTCTTTTATGCCTTTTACATTTTGCCTTGTGTGCATAAATTGCCTATTTCTTAAAACCCTCCAGCCTGTGCTGGAGGAGAGCAGCGGGAGCTGGGAGCAGGACGAGGGCGCACTTGAAGCATGGAGGCGGGGCCGGGCAGCCAGGACCGGGCATGTCGGGCCAGGAGGAAGGCACGCGGGCAGAAACCACGCTCCACCTTGTCCAGACCCAGGACGGTGGGACTAGCCGTGGTCCCTCCCAGCTGAGAGAGCACGTGCAATAGAAACAGCTCTAGCCTCGGGGTCCCTGCCCTGTGTGACCTGAGCACCTCACATGGCCTTGCTGGGTCCTGCTGGGAAGTGAGGACAACCTGGCTCAACTTAAGGATGAGACGAGATGGTGAGGGTCCGGCGCACCCCAGCCCCAGCTGGACCTGCACAGGGGGGCTCAGGAATACCACAGAGAGGGCTGGGGAGGGTAAGCCCGCAGCTCCATATGGCCAGACGCACCACCCACAGCCCCCTGCCTCTCACTCCCCCTCTGAGGCGCGATCGGTAGGTGCCAGCACTGCATCCGAGTCAGGAAGCCGAGCGGCTGGTGTCTGACCCTTCCCGCGGGCAAGCCCACGCACACTTAGCTTTCCTCAGCCCATCGAATGCGCTCGATGCCCATCTGACGTGTTGTGGCCCCGAAAGCCCTTTATCATTAGTAATAATCATTAGTAATAACAGCTGACATTTACGGAGCACAGATTGTGCTAAGGACGGTTCCCAGGTCTTAACCCACCGAGTCCTCACACCACCCTGTAAGGCGGGCAGCATTCTCACCCACCGAGTCCTCACACCACCCTGTAAGGCGGGCAGCATTCTCACCCACCGAGTCCTCACACCACCCTGTAAGGCGGGCAGCATTCTCACCCACCGAGTCCTCACACCACCCTGTAAGGCGGGCAGCATTCTCACCCACCGAGTCCTCACACCACCCTGTAAGGCGGGCAGCATTCTCACCCACCGAGTCCTCACACCACCCTGTAAGGCGGGCAGCATTCTCACCCACCGAGTCCTCACACCACCCTGTAAGGCGGGCACCCAGGTCTTCCACCGAGTCCTCACACCACCCTGTAAGGCGGGCAGCATTCTCACCCACCGAGTCCTCACACCACCCTGTAAGGCGGGCAGCATTCTCACCCCACACTGCAGACCAGGCCCAGGGCCGAGGCGGACTGTGAGAGAGCGCAGCCGCTCTCACTGCTGACTTGTCGCAGCTGCTGTCATCGTGGGTGGTGGTCCCATTTCAGCGCGGGCTGGTGCGTTCTCACCC